GTTTTTGTCCCTCTGTTTCCACACTGGCAAATGGTAAGTATATGTGGACATCAAGCCCAAAGCATGTAGACACCCATTCAATGTAGGTGCTTGGCTGAACAATCGAGTTCCTTCCACTTCCCAATACTCTCCATTCTTCTTGCTCAATCATTCATTCCAAACATATTCCCTGAGCCATGAATGTCAGATCTGGCCCCTCATAGCTAATGATTGGGAGCTATGGTGCCTGCTGGGAAACTTGTGTGGTGGTGGTGCTGGACTGGTCTTGCCAACCCCAGTCCCACAGCATGGAGAAGGGAATGTGAGGACTTTCCATGTCCTGTTTTGAGGTCATAACCTCCCATCACCTCCCTGTCTTCCCCCCACCCATTCTCTCCACTTCATCATTTAGGGATTTTATGCAGGTTCTTCTATATCCACATGATCGATTATGTCATTGTTGAGTGATGATTAATTCAGTTTTTAGTCCTTTTCCCTTGCCCAGAGATCTGGGGGGCATGGCTGAACATTCCAACCCTGTGACAATGACATACAAAATATAACTTTAAAATGCTCCAACCTTTAACCAATCTTTTTTCTTTCTAGCTACCTGAGAATCCCTATTCTGAAGCTATCTAGGGCTTCCAGATGACCAGTCATCTCATCAGCATGAAAGAGACAGTCTACACTTCAGAGATTCCAAATCTGAGGAACCCCTTGGGTCAGAAACCTCAGACTAAGACATCTAGGGTGTAATATTCAAGAGTGCCCTCCATCAGCAGGTGTGTGGCAGGTTCTAGTAGCAGCTAGGATCATGTCCTTGATATGATCCCAAGTTATCACCAGTGGCAGATGGGTAAGGCCCTGGGTTCAACCCCAGCACTGCCAGATACACCAAAGTTTTCAATGACTTTTTTTCTGCAGTACAGAGACTTAAACCCAGGGCCGTGCACTTGCTAGGCAGCTCTACCACTTTGAGCTACCAGTATTGAGTGTTTTCAAGACAGGTCTTGCGAACTATTTGCCCAGGCTGCTTTAAACCACAGTCCTCTAGACCTGTGCCTCCTGAGTGCTAGGATTACAGATGTGTCTTCTGCCTGATCTGGTCTGCCTCCTGAGTAACAAAGGATTATAGGCCTGAGCCAAAGTTGCCCGGATTGAAATGCATTATTAATGTTTGCACACCCGAAGACGTGTTGACTTTATGCTGTGTAAAAATTATTGAACATGGTTTAGGAACATGGTAGGATGCCTGGTGGCAAGCCAGAGGTCTGAGTTCAAACACCAATAACTACCTCCACACACACACACACACCACACACACACACACACACACACACATTTGAACCATGCTTCCAACCCTTCTAATGCTTTTACTGAAACAACTAGTGGCTGAAATTTACTGTGAGAACCTCTTAGGGCTTTTGGAGGTAAGTATCTCAAATACATGCTGTTTTCTAAATCTGATTCTCCTCTAGACTTTACCTCTTAAACTAGTGGACACTTAAGACTTCAGCAGTTCATCAGCTGCAGTTCAAGTTTCCCTTTCCTTGTTCTGCTTGAGTTTCTGTTCCAGGAAGCTATATGACTCTCTGGGTTGATCTCTTTACCTTACTAGTTGGGTGACAGTTGCTTGCCTGGTGACCATAGTTGTTCAGGGTCTTTAAGTTCCCCAGGTATTCCTGTATTGTCATTTTATACAATTGAGCATTTTATAGGATTCCCTTGTTTTCAGTTCCTAAATGTTTGTAGTGGCTCCCCAGAGGTAGCAGTGTTCATTTACAACTACTTTAAATTCAGGTTAAAATACCACTGTGCTGTATCACCAGCAGGGCAGAGACCATAGACCATTCCCAACTCCTCCTCCTCTTTCACCCCTGTTCACAAGCAGTACTGGTTTTGTGCATGGTGTTGTATCTTGAGAAAATTATGTTTTGGCCATTTCTCATTGTAATTCCATTCATTTAGCTTACTCTGTAAACTAATACTTTTTTTTCTGCTATGGAGTTTAAACTCGGGCTTCCACAGTACAAAACAGGCTAGAGCCACAACTCCAGTGAAGAAACTTTTATTATACCCAAAATTGATTTGACAGTGCCTTCTTAAAAAGTTGAAAATTTTACCTTTCCCATTGCAACTTATAGTTTGTCTAAGGTCTAGGAAATAGATGTGAATATAATGCATGTGCCCATGTAAGAACTTTATCCCTACATTTTCCTTGAAATTTGTGGGGCTGGAAGAGTGACACAAGTAAGAGAGTGCGTGCATAGCAAGGGTGAGAACCTAAGTTCAAACCCAAGGGCCACCAATGAAAAACTGTGATTTCTTCCACTCTTGTAAAATGCCTTCTCTGTTGTGAAACAGGGTTTTGTAAATTTTTCAGCACATTAAAGACTATTTACCCTCTCCATTATATATTTGACAATACCCAAGTTGGTGCTGTAGTGTCCTGAATGCTATACTTTCAATATATTTTGAAGTCAATTAGGGAAGCTGTCTCCACAGAGAATCTCACTACACTTACATGTGAAATACCTAATCAATGTTTAGAAAGTATTGGAAAGCATAATTTAAGATTCCCCACAACACTACTGCTCTGATCACATCAGGGCTTCTGCCATCTTGAAGAGCATTCAGTTGCTTCACGTTGAAATGTTCTAACAGGACATAAACCAATACTACTCCTGGCAAGTGAAAGGCTTAGTAATGTCCCTTTCCTTATTTATAGAAATCAAGTTGAAGGAAGACTCTTTGAACCTAAGGAAGATGTTCAACATGGAGACATCCTCAGCCATACTTTACGAACAACAAAACTCCTTCATTTTGAAATTTGACTTTCAGAACACACAAAGGCCACAATCCTTGTATCAAAAATATGGAGAGAAGCTATAAATTCTGTACATAAATGTAAGGAGTGTGGAAAAATCTTCAGTTTTACAGTGTTTTCAGAAAAACACTTGGAGTGTTTCTAACTTGGAGTGAGAAGCCATGAATGTATATAATGAGGGAAAGTGTTCAATTATTCTGTTTCACATCATAACCCTGAAAGATCTCACACTGAAGAGATAACCACTGTATGTCAGCAGTGTGGCAAAGTCTTTGATTCTACCAATACCATAAAACACATGAAGGGATTTTTAACTGCATAATAGCCTTATGTATGTAATAAATGTAGGAAAGTCTTCTTGCTTTTGAATGATGTTCATTAACATGAACCAATCCACAGTGCAAAGAAGCTTTTGTGTGTAAGTGATGTGGAAAACCCTTCAGTTGTTCCAGCTACAATAAAATAAGGGAAAGAACTCACACTGGAGAGAAACCCTATATGTGTAAGCCACAAGGCAAACACTTCTTTAAGCAACACTTGGGGACATACAAAATTCGCATTGAACAGAAATCCTACATAAGCATTGTGGGAAAGTCTGTTTCTTTGAGTGACTTGCAAACAAATGAACAGTTACGGAGCAGATACCCTATGTTTTGGGTTGACTATGAAATATCTCCCAGCATGTGTTCAATGCTTGGTCCCCCATTGGTGGTGCTATTTTGGAAATTTTTAGAAACTTTCAGAGGTAGGGCCTCAGTGTGATTTTAGCTGGAAGAAAGACTCAAGTAGCAGAATGATCAACCAGCAACCCCCAGACCCTAGAGAAAAATCTCACTAATGCCTTAAAACAAAAGGAAACTCGAGAAATGTGTTCCCACAATTTTCAGATTGGGAATATCCAAGAACACGTCACCAGGACTTGGTGAGGGTCTTCATGTCAAATCCTCCCATAAGAATGTGATTGGGTAACACAACTCAAGCTCATTACCCCAGGCTCTATATAGAGCACCATTTATACTTTTTTTATTGTTTTATTATTCATATGTGGAACCATTCATACTTGACACCCAGACCTCATCACTTCAATACTGCTCAAAGGACCCCACCTGCTGGGCCCTGGTGGCTCATGTGTGTAATCCTAGGTATTCAGGAGGCAGAGATCAGGAGGAAATTTGTGAGAAGCCAGAAACGCCAAATAGTTCAGGAGACTCTTATCTCAAAAACAAAACAAAACAAACAAAACCCAGACACACACACGAAAAGGATGGTTAGGTGTGGCTACCTACCAAGCCTGAGGATATGAAGTGAAACCCAGTGCCATAAAAAAAAAGTCCCCACCTCCACATTTCCTAAAGGCTCCATCTCTCCTTGCAGTGCCAGAGATGATAAGGAGCATATTGGTGTGGAAAACAAATAGGACAGGATTAACATGATCACTGAGCAAGGCGGGGTAGTTATTAGTAATTACGCTAAAGTTATATATGTAAGAATTTTTTGGGTGGTAGTAGGCTAAAACTCAGGGCCTCAGGCTTGTCAGGCAGGCACTCTACCCAGTTGAGCAACTCTGCCAGCCATTTTTTATAATGGAATTTTGAGATGGTGTCATTTGAATTATTTACCTGGGCTGGCTTAGAACTGCCATCTTCCTGATCTCTCCCTCTTGAGTAGCTAGGATAACAGGAGTGAGTCACCAGTACCTGACACCTGAGAGCATTTTATGGTTGCTGTTCCATTACAACCAGGAAATCAAAGTATTTGTCTGTAATGACAACTTTGCTGTCTTTTGAACATTAAAAAGTTTTTGATCTTAGGTATGTTCTTACCTGAAGACTTGTAACATTCCTTCTAGTGAGATTTCTCACCACAGTATGCTATTTTATGTTCATCAACTCAACAGGGATGACTAAAGGCTTTCCCAAAGTTTACATGGTAGCTACTTACCTTTCCTAACCATTGTCATATCTGCTAGAAAGTTCATGTGATATCAGGGCCTTCCCACATTCTATATTTAGAAATTGCCTCCTGTAGGAGTCCACCCATGCCTCTTCAAGGAACCAAAACAATTGCATTTTCCACACTGTTTGCATTTATATTTTCTCACCAGTGTGCATTCATCCATATCTTCAAAGGTTATTGTACCAAAAAAAGGTCTGCCATATTGCTTCCATACAAAGGGTTTGTCTCCACTGTGACATCATTTATATGCTTGAATGTCAATGAAAGAAATGAAGGTTTTCCCACATTGCTTACATACATACGACTTCTGCCTATGAATATGTTCATGCTTTGAACTTGAGTCAAAGAAGGCTTTTCCACATTGCTTACATACGTAATGTGTCTCTCCAGTGTTGATTCTTTAATGTATTTCAGTGCAACCAGAAGAACGAAAGGCTTTACCATACTGTTTACTTTTCTGTGGTTTCTCTCTAACATGAGTTACCACATGATCAACTCCATCAGCCTTTATAAATTATACTGTACAAGCTCAAAAAGTGAGTTTTAAGCCAAGAAATAGGATGATTAGGTGTTCCATGTCTGGCAAAGAATCAGTGCTAAATCAAACAAATGCATGACCAACTTGTGCAAATAAGTGACTGTGCCCATGCAAGGGATTAACTTTCCTTATTTTCTACGTTATATGATTAGTCCGCTTAGAATGGCCTATTCTCCACCTGTGTGCATGTGTGTTGCTAATTTTATTTCTGAACTACCACACTCACAACACAAGGAGATTTCACTGTGATAATTCCGAATGTGCAGATAGTGGCTTGAGGTATTTTGAATTCATATTGGTACCAGGTGACAGGTATCTAGTTGCAGAATTCTAAATATAAATATCCAGTTTTCCAACACCATTTGTTGAAGAGACTGTCTTTCTCCAATGTTCTTGGCACCTTTGTCAAAGATAAGAAGGGCCTCCCAGTTTGGGTTTATTTCTGAGTCTATTTTTGTCATTTTTACTTTTTATATACATATCTGCTAAGAAAATTAATAATGGAAAATGTAACAAAATACGTATGAATCACACAGGGGTAAGATTAGGCTACCCACCAGATACAGTACTTCTGATCCCTATCATTTCATTGTGATTACAACAAATTCTAATTCTTTAGTGATTTCCTTGAGTATTGTTATTGAGTGCTGTCACCATATTTTATGAAAGTTCAATTCAACTTGTGCCTCCTCCATACTTGATAGCATGACTTTACCTTGTGTCCTTATATGTCAATGATTTTTCATAAGTGGCATATAAAGTTGCTTACTTTCTAATGAACTCTATTACTGTCTTTTAATTGGAATATTTACGTATCACAGATTTAGAAGCAGCTTTTGTTCATACATTTTTACAACATGTTAGGGAAAGAAGGCTTTCCCACATGGCTTACATAGAAAGTACTTCTGTTGACTGTGAGTTGGTTCATGTCTTTGAAGGACACTCAACTGAAGGAGGATTTACCACTGCTAACATATGTAGGTTTTGCTCCAGGGCGAGTTTGTGTATGTCTTTTAAGGTTGATGGATGAATAGAAGGCTCTCCTACATTGTTTACATTCATAAGGCTTCTCTCCACTGTGAATTCATGCATGCGTTTTCAGGTAACTGGAAGAACTAAAAGCTTTTCCACATTCTCACATACATAGGGTTTCTCGTCACTGTGAGTTTTTACATGTTTTCGAAGGTCACAAGACCGATAGAAGGCTTTCCGACATTCTTTACATGCATAAGGTTTTGTACCAGTGTGAATTCGTGTATGTGTTCTGAGGGAACAGTATGTCCTAAAGTCTTTTCCACATTGCTTACATGCAAAGGGCTTCTCTCCAGTGTGAGTTCTTTCATGTCTTTTGAGGGAACTGGAAGAACTAAAAGCTTTTCCACATTGTTTACATGCATAGGGTTTCTCACCACTGTGAATTTTTACATGATTTCGAAGGTCACAGGAAGGATAGAAGGCTTTCCCACATTCTTTACATGCATAACGTTTTATGCCAGTGTGAATTCGTTCATGTGTTTTGAGGGAATTGTTTGCCCTAAAATCTTTTCTACATTGCCTACATGCAAAGGGCTTCTCTCCAGTGTGAGTTCTTTTGTGTGTTTTGAGGGAACTGGAAAAACTAAAAGCTTTTCCACACTGCTTATATACATAGGGTTTCTCACCACTGTGAGTTTTTACGTTTTTGAAGGTCACAGGGCCAATAGAAGGCTTTCCCACATTCTTTACATGCATAACATTTTACGCCAGTGTGAATTCGTTCATGTCTTTTCAGGGAATTGTATGTCCTAAAGTCTTTTCCATATTGCTTACATGCAAAGGTCTTCATTCCAGTGTGAAATTCTTCATGTGTTTTCAGGTAACTGGAAGAGCTAAAGGCTTTTCCACATTGCTTGCACACATAGGGTTTCTCTGTACTGGAAGTTCTTTCATGTTTTTCAACAGCACACAAATATAAGATGGGTTTCCAACATTGTTTACAAACATAGGGTTTTTCTCCACTGGGAGTCAGTTCATGTTTGCAAAGGCCACTCAAATGAAAGCAGTCTTTTCCACACTGCTTATATGCAAAGGGTGGCTCTCCAGTGTGACTTCTTTCATGCCATTTAAGGAATCTGGAAGCAGGAAAGGCTTTCCTAGAATCTTTCCATTTAAATGGCTTTTCTCCATATTCCTGATACTCATGTGGGTTAGGTTCACTCTGAGTTCTGAAGGACAGACTCAGGAATGGATGGCTGATGAAGACTTCTTTACACAGTTTTCATTTGGTCCACTGCAGTAGGAGTATTATTGCTCATAATACGATCTGGGGTACTGCTGAAGAATTCTCCACACTCAATATCTTCTTTGTGTTCACAGAATTGCCCTACCACTTGACTTCTAGAAATAATGAGAAACACATTACCAAGTTATTTTTTCAAATAGTTACCAGAAGCAATGATTTTATGGCCTGAAAGAATTTTTGAATATGCAGGATGGTGTTATAAAGATATTATCAAACCAGTGGTATTGTTACAGGTATCTAAAGAATCTATCCCAGTATTTTGCAAACAATGAATATCTACATAACATTTACATGCATTTGAATATTGTACATGCACAAAGGTGCGACCAAAATCATTTAGATTTTGAAGTATTTGCATAATCCGAAGAAGCTATATTGAAGATTATAGGCACCAATCCAAATCAGAATTCATTTTCTTCAAATGCACCATATATTCACACCCTGAAGGAAATTTCATAGAGTATTTTTCACAATTTACTGTATGAAAATTTTGGCACATTAAAACAACAGATATTATCAGTTGGGGAATCATGTTGGTACTACACATTTCTGATATTGGAACATTTTGGATTGGAATTTCCTTTGGGTTTACCCATTTTTTTTGTAGCATTGGTTTTTGAACTGAAGGTCTCACAGTAATTAGGCAGGCACTATACTGTCTGTGCCAGTCTGCCAGCCCTTTAACAAGTTAGGGATTTTTGAGTTAGCGTTTCAACAATTACTTGCCTGAAGATGGTTTCAAACTTTCATCTTCCTTATCTATGCCTCCCAAATACCTATGACTATAGGTGTGAGCCACCGGCACCTGGCTCATTTTTTGTTTTTTTGGGGGTGGAGGGTGAAGGATAAGCTTTGAACCCTCACACTGACTGGATGAGCAGTATGCTGCTTTACTTGAGCTCACATATCACTTTCTTTTTGAAAAGTTTACTCTGGGTTGTCAGAATGGCTAAAGTGGTAGAGTAACTCTGTAGCAAGAAGAGGCCGAGGGTTTAAAATCCTGAGCACAGGGAAGAAAAAATACAATTGTATCCTGACTCTTTTGATTGTTCGTTTTTTGGACTGGGGTTTGACTCAGCACTTCACACCTGCAATGCATGCGCTCCATCACTAGGGACACACCTATAGTCCTAGTTGATTCTTATGTGACACTTCTTGTTCTTTCTCTTTTCAATATTTTAATTGCTATATGGAATTTATACAAGGGATTTCACTGGGACATTTCCATATGTACATACATTATACTGCAGTCTGTTTTATCCCCTCCATTATTCTTCCTCCTATCCCACTCACTGCCTTAAAATAACTTCAACAGGTTTCAAGGTTCCATATAAATACATGTACAGAAAGTACATCAAATATTGTGGGGACAGTGGCTGACTCCTGTAATCCTAGATACTAGGGAGAGTGAGACTCAGAGGATCCAGGTTCAAGACCTGCGAGAGAAATATTTCTCAAAACCCCATGACCCACAGACCCACAGCAAAGCAGCCTGGAGGTATGCCACAAGTGCTAGAATGCTTGCCTTGCCAGTTCCAAGGGCAGAGTTCAAACCACAACCCTCTCACCCCTGCCAATAAAGGCAAATCACCCATACCCTCTTTACCATCTTCATTTACCCTCTCCCCTCACTGCTGACCTCCCCTTCACATAACCTGTTTTACATTCCTTCCCTTCAGTGTACAAGTTGCTTTCTCTTATGAGGGCAAATTACCTTAGATTTCTTCTGGAATTTTTATACACCTCTTCAATGGTCTCATCTTCCTCTTGTTTTTTTTTTTTAATAAAATAGAGACAGAAAAACATTTTGAATAATATTACTATAGAAAAACTACTAGATTCTAAGTAGGCTTATGGTATAATGTGCCAACATCTGGTGTATTCCCTGAATTTATGCATTCCATATTCCAAATTATTGCAAAGCATTGATCAGCAACAAACACTGGTTCTCTCATTGACTAAGGGAATGAAGTCATCCTTACCAACATAGGCCAGGTTCCTGAAGGTTTCTACCATCACATTCCAGTACAGTTTCTGTTGTGAAGACTCCAGCAAAGCCCACTCTTCCTGGGTGAACTTGACACACACATTATCAAAGGTCACAGACATCTAAAACATTACAAGTGTATGTCAAGGGGGAACGTCAGACTGACAGTACTGAAGATCTAGACTTCAAGTGTTCACATGATGCTGTGTTCCCAAAGTGTCCATGTCTTGGTCATTAAACTGCTGCTCTTCATGCAAACTCACACCCTCTCACATAGCACTTTTAATACTAGCCTGAAAATAATTGTGAAAACAACCGCAGTAGCAAAACAAACTGAATGCTCCTGAATCGCCCCAATTTCTTGTTAAAGAGTAGGTCTATAATTTATGTCCTAACTATAAACTGCAACTGCACTTGCACAAGACAATTAACATCACCAGGGCTGGTGGAGTGAAGACCTGAGTGCAAACCACACTCCCACAATGAAAAAAAAAGAGAGCAAACAAAAATCACTTGTCTTGAGACTATGTATTCTTAGATATGTTTGAAGACAAAGTTCAACCTGAGAGGGACTGAACTCTGCTGTAAAAGACAATTTCACACACCCTTCCCCCCAGTACAGATAAGATGAACAAAACAGCAGGACATGACTCAGGGAGAACATGCAAGATGTGAGCTACGTGCAGGACGTGGTCTGCCTGCTTGCCCAATGCAGATAACGAAATATGCTTGCTACTGTTCTGTTGCTTAATAGGCTGAAATAACGGGGGCATTACAAAATCATTGGTTAAGAAATGCGTGGGTTTCTTGTTGAAACGGCTGAAAATAGACTATATAAGCTTTCCCCTAAGAAGACTGGGGGTCGAGCTTTCCTGTCTGGTCCTGTGTGTCCATGCTGGAGCTCGACCCTGGCAAGCCAGTTAAATAAACTCTGCTTTGGTGATTACCTTCTCGGCTGGCTTTCTGTCTCTCGGGGAATTAGGGCCACGACCCTAACAAACCATGCCTGTAACCTCCGTGACATACACCTCATCAGCTAGACTGAAAGAGGAGCTCAGTGTTTCCAAATAGTTTCCATGATCAATATGCATTTTTTTATTCTTTTATTTTGATTTATTATTCTTTTAATATAGACTTTACTTTTTTTTGGCAGTAGTGGGATTTGAACATAGGGCTTCAAAATTGCTATACAGGCACTCTACCACTTGAGCCACTCAGCCATCCCTCTAGCTGGTGTCTTATACTCAAACTTAAATATGCCATAAGACTCATGAAGGATAATTCATCATGGCAATGGAAATACATGAAGTGTTAATTTGACAATGTCAAAAGAGTAAAAAAGGAGGAATGATGTCACATGATCTCAGAAACAGTTCACTCACTAAGATTTCACTCCTCACCTATACAATATAAATACCATAAAATTCTCTAATTCCCCCAAATAAACCTTTCACTAGTCAACAAAAATGACTTCCCTGAATTTTGCAAATACAATAACCTCTTTGGACCAAGAAACCGGGAGGTGCTGTCATATAAGATATTGAAAGTATGTCATTCATCACACTACACCATTAATATAGAGATTAACAAACATCACTGATAAGGAAAACTACCTTTGATGAGCCGAAGGTATACAGAAAATTGATTCACAGTAGAGAAGCCATCGATAAACAGTAGTAGAAATTGCAATCTCTTTAATACAGGATGTACTATCAAACTAGTAACTACTGAGAACAGGCATTGTATTCCCACCTGTAATGGGCAATAACACAACTGGAAATTGAAATGGGAAATATCCAACTTAAATATTTTAACAAGGCAATGACTTTGGGCCTAATGAGACTTTCTTCATGAGGAAACAAATAATCCATAACACATGGAGATACTTAATTTTATTAAAAAAATTATTGGACGCTGGGTGCCTGTAATCCTAGCTACTCAAGAGGCAGAGATAAGGAGGATTGCAGTTTGAAGCCAGTCCTTGGCAAATACTTTGGGAGTCCTGATCTCAACAAGAGCCATCAGAAGAAAGGGCTGCAGAAGTGATTCAAGCAATAACAGCATCTGCTTAGCAAGTGTGAGGCACTGAGGTCAAACCCTAGTGCCACAAACAAACAAACAAAACAAAAACCCACATTAGTAAAGCTGACAGTCAGACTTTGACCACACAAATGAAGAGTCACAGAGGATCAGTTCCTGGTGCTGAGGCAGAAACATGGAATAATTTAACTCTGGGTACTCACCAGTCCCTGTCTTCCCCTCCTATCACTTTGGAAACTCACCCTCTTTAACACCTTATTATTGCCCAGAGGAAAACTCTCACCTGAGGTCAATTTAAGGTTGTAATCTAAAGAATCTGTTGAGTTCATAGTCTCTTTCTCCAGGATACCACCTGACGAATCTTTCTTTAAACCTGATCGTCAGAGATTTTCTTCATGGACACAAGTTACAGATTGACTACAAGAACACTGGGAATGCCAAAACAAAATTCTCTCTTGAAAACAGGCCATGGCAAACAGAATTACCACCTCAGACTGACAAAACATCTGGACACCTGCCTAGCAAGTGTGTGGGCCAGAGTTCAAATCCAGAATTACCCATCCCCTCCAAAAAACCCTCAAAGACAGACAATTAATAAAACATGAACCCTACCCAATGTTCCTCTGCTTCAATGCCCTGACCTTCATAGTTCATTGGTGTTACCAGGTAAACTGCAGAGATGGGCAGATTTGCATTTACAAGTTCCACTTACCTATCTGAAACACTGTTTTCAAATCGGCTATCAGCAATGCATGAACTTGTTGGGGGGCGTAAATTATAAACTCTATAAATAGCCTTTTCTTTCTTTTTTTTTTTTGGTGGTACTGGGGTATGAATTCAGGGCTTCTTCCTTGCAAAACAGCCTCTCTACCACTTGAACCATACCTTCAGTCCATGCAGCTCTAGTAACATTGGTAATTAAACTATTTGGCCTGGCTACATGGAAGCAGAGGCCTCCCAATATCAGCCTCCTATGCAGACAGGGTTTCCCAGCAGCCTACCTTTTCAAGCACTGTAAATGTCCCTTTCTTCAATCCAACTGAGACTCTCTTATGTTGCTCGATTTAAATTATTCATTTGAAACTCTTCCAGAATTCACCCTTCTCTTGGGTGAGGATGTTGTTTTGATTCTCTTTTTCCTAACCTGTCATACTACATGCTCACTGATAACACACATTGAGGACACTTGCTGAGGAAGGGACATTTAAGATGAGTCCCAAAATAATGTATTATTTACACAGGCAGGGGCATAGGATTCAGAGAACATGGCAGAATAAGTATGATGAATTTATTCCCCATAAGAAAAAACTTCACCACCATTTTTCCCATGTGAGTATTCTGAGACTCAGGAGTGTAGTGAAGGCTTGTCATTTTCAGAAAATGGATTGGATGGTAAACTGTTTAAAATTTTAGTCAGTTTTAACTCAGCACAGTACCAATAACAAAACACTGCACTTCCTTTGCAATTCCATGAGTCTGAGAAACCACTTCAAATCAGAAGGCAGATGTCAGGGTGAGACAAATACTGTGCACCTGTGCTCTCCTTCAATGTGCCTCTTGGGGGCCATTGTTGTTGCACTCCCTCCACTGTTCCCTGGTCCTTGCACTACATCTGACGTGATTTTCAAGGGACTGAAATGTCCACTCATGACTTTTACATTCATTTTTCCTTTAACCCTTCTACTAACCAAATAATGAATACTAGGTCCTGTAACCTTACCCAAATGAATGGGGAAAATGAGAAGTCACCATACACACCCAGGAAAGGTTTCCTAATCTTCATTTCCTGCTGTTTCACTGCACAAAAATATTCTACAACAATGAAAAACATACAAAGCAAGCCTCTAGCTGGGTGCAGGTAGCTCTATACCAAAAAAGAAAAAACAGGAGTCTTTGCTTCATTTCCTCGGTGGGACAGGAAATATTTCTCTTTCCCTAGCTAAAACCCTTGTCTATACTTCATCCTATCATACTAAAATAAGTAAAACCAACAACAACAAAACCAAGCCATGCGCTGCAGCTCATGCTTATAATTTACTTGGTCTATTTGGATCGTAGACTTAAGTGGAAAACTTAAACTTCACACTCTCACAGGATATGGGAAATTATTTTAACTTGATTGCATAAAAATATTCAGGTATGACAAGAGTGCAATATCCATCAAAGATTTAGATACTGCAGGTTGCTGGCTCTGGTGAACCATGCCTGGTTTCTTACCTCACAGGAACAGAGATTAGGAGAAAATATGTCTAGAGACCCTATCTGAAAAATACCCAACACAGGACTGGTGGAATAGCTCAAGTGGAAAGAGTGGCTGCCTAGTAAACAGGAGGCCCTGAGTTCAAAACACAGTGCTCCATCACTATGTCACATATCCCCAGAGAGCCTCAATGCAGAAGGCACAGCAGAACTTCTCAGCTGGTATGCCTAGGAAGTGTACCTATTCCAAGGGTGGGAGTACCAGCATGTCAGAGTGGGACCAGGAGTTTAAGGGTCAGTGGAAACAGGCTGGGATAAAAACTCAGGGTAGTAAAGTGACACTTGGAAGGGGTTAATTTTCTTGCCATTCAAGCAAGCTAAGAGACGGTACGGTAAAGGATGTCATCAGATGCTGGACACAGATATATATTCTATATGTTGTTTTCTATAAAAAAAAATCTTAGCTCTCATGCTACTTGTTGGAGGTGGCTGATACCTGAGTGATCGAGACATGTTAGCCTTGCCAAAGGACCCCCATGCCTTTGGTTAGATATTTCTAGAACTGTCCTAGCAAGAGGAAAAGAAAAAACATTAATGAAATCATTAGTTCAAAGTCCAAATTTGTATTTTATGGATGCAAAATGTCCAGGTGGCTACAAGATTACCACAGTTTTCAGTCATGTGCAAACAATGCTTCTTCGTGCAGGTTGTTCAACGGTGCAGTGTTCAGCCTACAGAAGAAGTCAGGCTCAGGGAAGGTTGCTCTTTTGGAAGAAAGAAACACTATTGACCTATGAATCAGTAAATTTATGTTTTCTCATAGAAAGCCTCTCAAGAATAATTTAAGTGTATTTGATTTTGTAGGGCATAAAATGACCTATATTGTCAGTTTTTCAATAACATTTTAATTCTCAGAAAAAAAAATGAAAACAATTTTGAACACAAAGACTTGGGGGAAATGTAGATATAATGCCCAAAGGAATCAAAACTTCAACTGGGTTAGGCATGCTGGTAGCTTATGTATGTAATCCTAGTTACTCAGGCTTCAGATATCAGGAGGGGAGCAGTTTGAAGCCAGACCTGGACAAACAGTTCATGAGACCGTATCTCAAAAATCCCACCACATAAAGAACTAGGACAGTGCAAGTGAGAGCACCTGCCTAGTAAGTGTGAGACCCTGAGTTCAAAACAAAACAATAAAAGCAGATAAAAAAATCACTTTAATTGGCTAAGAAGGTAGAGATCAAGAGGATCAGGGTTGGAAGCCAACCCAGGCAAACAGTTTGCCCAACAGCATCTCAAAAATACCTCCAAAAAACCAGCTGATGTAGTGGCTAAAGGATTACAGTGCCTGCCTAGGAAGCACCTGGCCTTGACTTTAAGCCCAGGTCCCACAGGGGAAAAAAAAAAACCAAGTTGCTTCTCAGGGAAGTGAGTGCATCCCCTGTGACTAAACAGAGAGACAGACACCAGATGTTTGTACTTGTGTTCTTGTAGACTACTCTGAATGAAAAACTAGACAGGACTGAGGAAGGATAATTCAGTATGCCCACAAATAAAAATTATACCTTTTATTTGAGAATGTCAACAGGTAAAAGAAGGAAAGGGAATGGCACATATCCTTAGAAAGAGCTCACTGTCACCAAGATTTGCAGGCTAAACAGATATAGAAAATACTGTAATTTGAGTCTGGAGTCAGTGACTCATACCTGTAATTCCTACCTACTCAGGAAGCAGAGATCAGGAGGATTTTGGCTGGAAACCAATCTGGACAAAAACTTTGCAAAACCATATTTGGAAAAAAGCCATCATGAAAAAAAAAGGGCTGGTAAAGTGGATCAAGTAGTAAGAGCTCCTGCCTAGGAAGCTTGAGGCCCTGAGTTCAAACCTTGGTTCCACCAAAAAAGAAAGAAATTCTGTCATTCCCAAATCACAGCTTTAAACAACCCCCCAAACCCTTTAATGTCCTAAGTATATCAAATGCCTAATAACACTGAAGAGCTTCAGACTAAGAAAGCTATAGATTGTCTAATATTATGTAAGAGCATCTAGGTTCAGCAAGCAGCAACACAAAACGAATAAGGATTAAAAACATTTGAAAATGAATGTACATATTCAAAAGGAACAAACATGTCCATGGTCAAAAGTGACAACACTGCGTAAGAAGACAAACAAACAAACATGGATAGCTGAGCTGACTGTGAAAAAACAATTGACCCAACTCTCCTTAAGTTTCTTTCTTCCCCACCCTTGGCCTGAGCCCACACACCATTTCTCCTGTACCATCACCTTAAGGACAGGCTGACTTCAGGGGACCACGATCTTTGATTCCACACCCCCCCACACACACACTATCTTTGAATCCTTTGCTCCTCCCTAGAGTGAACAGCCCATTCACCCTCACCTTAGAGGAGCTAAGGGACCTAACACCCTGCCTTTCCACATGACAGAGTCTTAGCCAAGGTCAGCTCAGAGGAGGCAGCTGCCACTAACACAACCTTGACAAGCAGGTTCAGGAGAAGCAGTTTTGCAGGGGAAATAAAAAGAGTAATAGAGCTGGGGACCAGTGTTCACACCTGTAATTCTAGCTACTCAGGAGGCAGAGATCAGGAGGATCTAGGTTCGAAGACAGCTGGGCAAGTAGTTCATGAGACGCTATCTAAAAAAAATCATCACAAAACAGGACTGGTAGAGTGGTTCAAGTGGTAGAGTGCCTGACTAGCAAATGTGGGGCCCTCAGTTCAAGTCCCAGTACCATAAAGAGAGAAGAGAGAGAGAGGAAAAAAAACATGCAAAACTGTGCTTAGTGATACATAGATGGTAAAGGTATAAAGAATGCCCAAGGAAATCCAACCTGGGTTTTTACTCACCTCTGGATGCCAAGTATATGAGATCAGGAAAACACACCAGTAATCACCATGGCCTATGGATTCACCTGGGTGAATCCCATGTTGTTATATTCTCTTTAAAATGTAGTATGAAACAAATAATTTCTTCCAAGAATTTTCTTTCAGACCATATTATTCTATCCATTCAGGTTCCAAGTAAGAAAATCCCAATCTCAAACTCAAGTATGATGGAACATTTTTACGTGTCTCAGTGAACTGTTATTTTAAAGAAAAAGGATTCTACAAAGCAAACAATAGGGAAGCAACAACGGGCACAAGTGGCTCATGCTGGTAATCCTAACTATTCAGGAGGCAGAGAGCAGGAGGATAACAGTTCGAAGCCAGCCCCAGAAAATAGCTTATGAGACCCTATCTCAAAAAACCCATCACAAAACAGGGCTGGCACAGAGGCTCAAGTGGTTAGAGTACTTGCCTAGCATGAAGCCCTAACTTCAAACCCCAATAGTACCAAAAAAAAAAAAAAAACGTGAAGCAGCCTGCTTCACAATTCACAAGGGACCCACTCAGAAGGTTAAGCACAAGTCTGAGTTTAAGAAGTCACTTGCACTGTGCAGAGGCAGCCCAGGGTCTGGCTCCCAGATGGGGAGTGAGGGAAACCTGAGCAGTCATGAAACTAAATTCATGGACCTTCAGGCTCCCTATTTGCCCCTCCAGCCAGCATGAAAGTCTCCTCCTCCACAGCTCAATTCTGACCACACCCTCAGCCACAGGCCTCCGTGATTCTGACCTGCAATGCCTTGTTCACTTCAGACACCCAACTGTGTGGAGTTCACCAACCATTTCTCCAACACCAACCAGGTGTCCATTAACTCATTTCTGACACCAGCCGGAGTGAGCAGAGACTACATGGGTTCCTGGCTCTATCCCACCACACTGTCCCAACTTCAGGTGACAGTCCAAAGCCCATGTTCTTAGTTTCCTTACCAGTCCCATCCTGAAGTGGTCAGTAGAGGGGTGACAGCCTGAATCAGCTCATTACCATAAATTCAGACATTGCCTAAAAGGGGCTTATGCTAAAGTACCAAAGTTACTCCATGGCTCAGGAAATTCCAAAGGTTTTAGGTTCTGTGGGAAAAAACATTTTAATATTATACACTTAAATAAACTCAAATTCATAAACCTTCTCTCCAGCAGGAAGAATTCAAGTGTATTTCTCATTCTGCCCCTCACTGTGATCCCCATATCAGCTTCAGACAAAATCCTCACTTTGTTCTGTCACTCACACTCAGTTCTAATCAGCTTTAGACTTCTTGCAATTGTATGTGGTTGGAATTTGACCTCATACAGGTTAGGAAAGTACTAAACCAAATCAGTCCAACCATTGCCCTACACATGGACATCCAGCGATTTTTCAGTTGACCTCTACCCATGGCACACTGATACGATTCCATGGCATTCCTGGAAAATTTCCATGAAACATAAAACATATAGTTCCTTTTTTGTCTGATATTAATCTTTATGGATATGTCTGATGGTTGCATATTTATGTTCTGATGTGTATTATCAGAGATGGAAGGACAGAAACTGTCAAACTGGTATGATGACCTAAAGACTAATCAAATCTCCATCTCAAGGTCTAAGTGTGGGGGGCATTTATGGAAAGTATCGGGTTTCAATCAGCATTTGAGGAATAGCCACAAATTTTCCTGTTAAACACTCCAGGCTGAGGATGAAGGTGACATCCTTATATGTCCCGGACTCCTGAAACACCATGTATATAGAGTCAGATCAGGTGAGACAGCACAGGAACTCTTATTCAGTTCATGACAAATCCCCAGGAATAAAGGATATTTTCAAGGTGTCTTAACCCCAGAGTATTGTTGCTTTGACTAGTGTTTCATTTAGCCACTAACACCGTCTTAAGAATTCGATGTGAAGGGGGCGGGGCTAAGTGGGAGAAATGTCTGCAAAATGTATGCACATATGAAGAAATAAAAAAATCGATGTGAATTTTTCCGGGGGACACAATTCACCTCGTAACATGTACAAGCCTGCTGTAAATCCTACTCTGCTCTCATCTTCCAAACTTCCCTATCCACCTGTTCTAGGAGGAGCTAGGTCCTCCCTTCCAAACTGCTGCCTTGAAGGTGTCAGTGTGACCTAGCTCAGCTATGCAGCGATGGATCGGTGCGATGGAAAGTCACTCAGGGCCTCAAGCCCCGCCCAATTGGAGGCACGGCACAAGGACTGCCCAGTCAGGCACGGATAAAGAAAGGGGCGGCTTCAACGATCTTGGGCGGCTTTTGAACTCAACGCAGCTGTCAGAGAATACCTGGGAATTGTCTCCAGGCTTTCTCCTCTGTTGAGGATGTTCAGGTGGCTTTGTCACAGCCTCTGTGGCCTTGAGAAAGGTCCGACTCAAGCAGCTTAGAGGGAGGATTCCAGGCAACCTAAAACCAAGGATAGGACATGCAGGTCAGTGTCCTGAGGAGAAGGGAGGCAGTTTGTCACCATCGGTTTGCGTCTCCCCACTCCGCGCCACTGAGTCCTCCTGGAGGGCAGCTGGACAGGGGTGGCCTCTGGCTTTGGCGGTTTGGGGTCGCGACCTCTAGCGCCTTCAGGCTGTGGGAGGGGCCGTGAGGACAGGGCGCGTGCCTAACGCTCTCCCTACTTGAGACGACGTGGAGGTGAGCCGGCTTGTGGACATGGTAGGATCTGTGTTCATGCCACCCCAGGCTGCCTTCCTCCCGTTGGGTCCACCTCTTTTGCCCCCTGATCTGCAAATATGTGGAAAGCAGTCTTCGATACAACCCCACCACCTCCCAGTGCAGCGCTTCTGTGCTCTAACCCGAAATCTCTAAATATCCTCCTCCCAAGCCTCATTGCCCAACACCGGCTTCCCCTGTCCTCGGCATTATCAACTATGTTTTTGCTCATGGCTCAGTTCTCACACCCGCTATTTCACCCTTTTCCTTTTTCAAACGGCAGCCGTACAAGAGGACTCACGAACACATAGTGGGGTGACACAAACCGACGGTTACAAACTGCCTCCTTCTCCTTCAGGACGCTGACCTGCATGTCCTGTCCTTGCTTCTAGGGTGCCCGGCGTCCTCCCTAGAATATGTTTGACTCTTAGAGTTCTGAAGTGATCAGAGGATGAGGAACAAGCAGCCGGACATCCTCAACAGAGGAGAAAGCTTGGAGCTAATTCCTAGAAGGTCCCTGCTGGTCAATTTCACTTAAAGACCCGAACTGCGTCATTAAAGCCCGCCCCTTTTCCTCGGTGTCGGTGTCTGATTGGTCACCCCACACGCCGTGCTTCCAATTGGACAGGGCTCGAGGTCCTGACTGACGTTAGAGTGCACAATCCACCCCTGCGTGGTTGGGAAAGATCACAATGGCATTTGTAACACTGCAGCTTAGGGAGGGAAGACCTAGTTCGCCATAGAATCGGTGGACGACCCTGCTATTGAAGATGATAGCGGACTATGAATTAGTAAGAAGGCTCGTGTATGTTATGAGCAGAAATGTGTCCTGCCCCAGCAATTTGCGTTCATTTTTGTACACAGTATTGGCTGATAAGTGAAATACGTGTTTAAGGCTCTTTGAAGTTGTGCTTTCTTTTGTTTTTTTTTTTTTTCTGCTATACATCAAAGACTGGTACCTGCGCTAAGTGCAGAATTCACACAAGGCCTCCAAAAGCAGCACAAACCACACTGCTTGCTGCCCAGTAGCAGGACCTGCCCCAACCAGCCTGGGGCTAACCTGGAACAGGAGGTCATCTATCAGCTGAAACTCTAACGTGACAAAACAGTTACTATGGCCACATTTATGAACTCATCTAAGATTCCCGAGCACTTCCTTCTACACCTTCCTGTCTTTTCTTGGTCATGATGACCCAGGCTTATTGCACCCGTTACAATAGTACTTCAGACTGGACAATACTTTCGACATATTTCCCTCAAATTGATAACTATAGTAAATTCAGTTAATTGGGGGTTGGGCCCTAGTTGATTCAGATACTTTCCCTGTAACTGGAAGGTAAAGAATGTTGACAGTCACATAAAAATGTGAGAACAAAGAGATCTAGATGACAATGACACACCAAGGAGAGAGATCTCAAGAGAAACCATTCTATCCAAAACTTTGATATTCTGAGTAATGAGGAACATCAATGTATAGTATTAAATGACAGCCTTCAGAAGTTCATAGAGCTTTTTAGGGGACACTTAGATTTTCTCTGCTGCAACTAGATGAGAATACGGTTGAATGACATGAAATTTCCCTAGCATTGAAAGCCTACACTGCTAGAAGAATTGGTATTTCATATTGGAAGATTGCTTTTCCCTTGAGCTATGCACATGCATGAGGTGACAGGTGTCAATAAATTTGTGAAATAGTTTCATATCCTTTATGTTGTAAACCTCAATCATTTTGAAATCACTCTGGGGTAATACTGTTGATATGTAAGTCTTGGATAATTTCTGGAAAGGCTGTGCAGTTGATTGGTACAGGGGGTACTTGGCACAGGTAAGTAAGAGCAGCAGTAATATGCAGATTCCTTCTGAGTAGTGTAAAGTGAAAATAAATATGTAATCTGAGATTTTGGATTTGTGTTTGTTTGTTTCCAGTAGCAAGGAAAGGAACAGAGATTCTGTTGGAGTCTGTACTGTGGGTTATTCAAAGAGTCAAGCCCTAAAACAGATCAAAGAAGGGTCCCTATATTAGAATGTGAGACTTGGTCCCACTCTAGTACTCTAATTTCTGTTGCAATTAGGTATTTTTGTGATAGGGTCTTACTATTTCCTCCAATGGCTTTGGACTGCATTCTTTGTGATCTCTGTCTCCACTGTAGCAAGGAGTACAGGTGTAAGAGTCCAGTGCCTGGCTCCTTCTAATACTCAATTACCCCGATAAGAGTCAAGGTCAATGTCATGAGCAGACATTTAAAAGGGAGAGCAGTGTCTGTACTCTAATATTTGCTGTTTGATGAGTACAGGTTTACTAGAAGTATTAATGCCAGGAGAGTGGCATGACTCACAAGCAGAGAGGTTCTCCTATGCTGCTGTAGCCCTGCACAATAATTCAATTCTACATCTCAGTGACGATAGGCAAAGACCTGAATGTAGAGAAAAAGATCCTGATGTCCAAGTCATGGATGTCGAGTTTGGGGATCAGATTCATGGGGATTTGTCATGAATTGAATAAGAGCTCCTGTGCTGTCTCACCTGATCTGACTCTATATACATGGTGTTTCAGGAGTCCGGGACATATAAGGATGTGACGTTCATCCTCAGCCTGGAGTGTTTAACAGGAAAATTTATGGCTTTTCCTCAAATGCTGATTGAAACCCGATACTTTCCATAAATGCCCCCCACACTTAGACCTTGAGATGGAGATTTGATTAGACCTTAGGTCATCTTACCAGTTTGACAGTTTCTGTCCTTCCATCTCTGATAACACACATCAGAACATAAATATGCAACCATCAGACATATCCATAAAGATTAATATCAGACAAAAAAGGATCTATGTGTGTTATGTTTCATGGAAATATTTCCAGGAATGCCATGGAATTGTATCAGTGTGCCATGGATAGAGGTCAACTGAAAAATCACTGCATGTGTAGGGCAATGGTTGGACTGATTTGGTTTAGTACTTTCCTAACCAGTATGAGGTCAAGTTCCAACCAAAGTACCACCCCAAGAAGTCTAAAGCTGTTTAGAACTGAGTGTGAGTGACAGAACAAAGTGAGGATTTTGTCTGAAGCTGATATGGGGACCACAGTGAGGGGCAGAATGAGAAATACACTTGAATTCTTCCTGCTGGAGAGAAGGTTTATGAATTTGAGTTTATTTAAGTGTGTAATATTAAAATGTTTTTTCCCACAGAACCTAAAACCTTTGGAATTTCCTGAGCCATGGAGTAACTTTGGTACTTTAGCATAAGCCCCTTTTAGGCAATGTCTGAATTTATGGTAATGAGCTGATTCAGGCTGTCACCCCTCTACTGACCACTTCAGGATGGGACTGGTAAGGAAACTAAGAACATGGGCTTTGGACTGTCACCTGAAATTGGGACAGTGTGGTGGGATAGAGCCAGGAACCCATGTAGTCTCTGCTCACTCCGGCTGGTGTCAGAAATGAGTTAATGGACACCTGGTTGGTGTTGGAGAAATGGTTGGTGAACTCCACACAGTTGGGTGTCTGAAGTGAACAAGGCATTGCAGGTCAGAATCACGGAGGCCTGTGGCTGAGGGTGTGGTCAGAATTGAGCTGTGGAGGAGGAGGAGACTTTCATGCTGGCAGGAGGGGCAAATAGGAGCCTGAAGGTCCATGAATTTAGTTTCATGACTGCTCAGGTTTCCCTCACTCCCCATCTGGGAGCCAGACCCTGGGCTGCCTCTGCACAGTGCAAGTGACTTCTTAAACTCAGACTTGTGCTTAACCTTCTGAGTGGGTCCCTTGTGAATTGTGAAGCAGGCTGCTTCACGTTTTTTTTTTTTTTTTTGGTACTATTGGGGTTTGAAGTTAGGGCTTCATGCTAGGCAAGTACTCTAACCACTTGAGCCTCTGTGCCAGCCCTGTTTTGTGATGGGTTTTTTGAGATAGGGTCTCATAAGCTATTTTCTGGGGCTGGCTTCGAACTGTTATCCTCCTGCTCTCTGCCTCCTGAATAGTTAGGATTACCAGCATGAGCCACTTGTGCCCGTTGTTGCTTCCCTATTGTTTGCTTTGTAGAATCCTTTTTCTTTAAAATAACAGTTCACTGAGACACGTAAAAATGTTCCATCATACTTGAGTTTGAGATTGGGATTTTCTTACTTGGAACCTGAATGGATAGAATAATATGGTCTGAAAGAAAATTCTTGGAAGAAATTATTTGTTTCATACTACATTTTAAAAAGAATATAACAACATGGGGTTCACCCAGGTGAATCCATAGGCCATGGTGATTGCTGGTGTGTTTGCCTGATCTCATACACTTGGCAGCCAGAGGTGAGTGAAAACCCAGGTTGGATTTTCTTGGGCATTCTTTATACCTTTACCATCTATGTATCACTAAGCACAGTTTTGCATGTTTTTTTCCTCTCTCTCTCTTCTCTCTTTATGGTACTGGGACTTGAACTGAGGGCCCCACATTTGCTAGTCAGGCACTCTACCACTTGAACCACTCTACCAGTCCTGTTTTTTGTTGATTTTTTTGAGATAGAATGTCATGAACTATTTGCCCAGCTGTCTTTGAACCTAGATCCTCCTGATCTCTGCCTCCTGAGTAGCTAGGATTATAGGCATGAGCCACCAGTTCCTAGCATCTTTTGAGTTTTGAATGAGTTACTGTTGAAAAGTGAGTATGTGCATGTGTGTTTTCCTGCCTCAAACTCCAGTACTGTCAACAAAAACAAAAATATTAGAAGAAAGCACTCAGTTGTCCACCAAAAAGAATAGTGGCACCTTGTCAATCCCTGGACAGGAAAGAAGATGGCTTCATGGCTCCTGTTATTGACTGTATTGGTTCAGAAGCCAATGCTGTCCTCATGTGCACTTGATCTTGTATGAATCTGATTGTGAGATAATATGAGCATCTGTGCTTGTTGCTGAGGACAGGCTTTCATGGTCCTCTCAGCATTGTCATATTAGCATTTTTCTATGGCATGCTGTTCAAGGAAACTATCTGGCTTCATCTTTCTCCTTTGTGGTACCAATCTGATGTCATGCTTGTTGGGAAGAGTTTTCTGTGGTTAGTGTCGGTTGTGCTGCTTCTCCGGACTGGAAAGGGTGTGCCCTAAGCTTTCCAACAGCTGGTACTTGTCTCTGGCACCTGCAAATGTCTGGTTATAGACCAGGAAAGCCCAGTGTGTGAGGCAGTGATCTGCAGCAAGAGCCAAGGTGTGCTCCACCCTCTGGGTCCCTGACTTTCCTTACCTTAACTCCCACACAGAATCACTTGTGACCACTCATTCCCCCTTCCCAGAGCTCTCCTAGCTGCTTCCATGCTTCTTGGCCAAAACAGAAAGAGAGTTCTACTCCCCTGTGTAATTCTGTCAGTTTCTCTTCATTGAACCTTCTGCATCTCTG